CCAGGAGGGTGGTCCTGCAGTGCTTTCCCCTTGGGGAAGTGTTAGGCAGTTGTGGCAGACTACTTGCTCATGTAGTTGCCACAACATTCTTGTTTGCAGAAACAAAATAAATATAGTTGATGAAATTCCTGGTGTGTTTTTTCTTATGGCTGACTTGATGACATTTTACCCGGGAGGTAAATCATTTGAAGCTTGGTGTCTTGCTAACCCTCCGAGTGCTTCATATCTTGGAAGTTGTACACAGGGATATCTTTCAGGTATTAGAGGACCTAACTTCCAGAGTAACGTTTCTTTCTTGCTTCTAGGGACCAGAAGGCCCTCGGGGAGAAACAGGTCCTGCAGGACCCCAGGGCCCCCCTGGACCCCAAGGACCCAGTGGTCTGTCCATTCAAGGCATGCCTGTGAGTTCTGTGCACATATTCAGATGGGTTTTATTGTTATCTGTTTTCCATGAAGCCATGAAGGATGAGCTTTTATATTCTGTGTCTTACCAATGAGTCCCAGTCCCTGAGAAAATCAGGACTGTCTGACCATTCGTTATCTCAACTCATGACCCATTGTTTGCTCAGTGACGGTGGCCTTTCAACAAACAGGCACATGGGACTGGTGTAAGCACAACCACAGCATTGCACCTAAGGAGGATGGCGGGAACAACACGGATAACCTGTGCTTGTTCACCTAAACGCTTTTGTAAAATTGTTATTCATTTGTGTGCACATGTGGCGTGTATGTGGGTACATGTTTTCTTGTGGTTGTACCGAATGTATGATGCATGTATTTGTGTATGCAAGTAGTAAAGGCAAGAGTCAATCTTGGGTGTCATCCTCAGGAGTCACCTACCTTGGTTTTGAAAGACAGTGCCTTCATTGGCCTAAAATGTGACGAGTAGGCTAGGCTACCTCTCCAGGGAGCCCCAGGGACCCACCTGTCTCCAGTGCCCCACCCGAGTGTGGGGGCTACAAGCATGTGGTACCATGTTCAGATTTTAGTTTGTAATATGGGCCCTGGGCATCAAACTCAGGGAGTCCTAGCGAGCTTTACCTCCCCAGCCCTTGACTAAACTGTTAGTATCTAGAAGGTAAAAACCATTATACCAGTTTATTATTGATGTGTAGCCATTGTGAACACAGAATAATGAAAGCCATCATATAATTCCTTATTTCTACTATCATTAGAATAGAGTTCACCGAGTGAAGTTTAGAGTTTACATTAAATGGCTCTTTTCAAATATTTGCTAGCTTGGGAAAGACGTTGAATTTAATTCACTGAAATATATGTGATTTTAAATCATAAACTATATAAACAACACTTAAATATTCAACTCACCCCTGCAAATGTTAGCATTATCAGCTTAGCCATCTGGGACTGCACATGAGGGCTTGGAACTGCTCTTGAACATAAACATTCACTTCTGCAGAAATGTTTACATGGATGGCTAAGAATATGTGAGAAATGAAATATGATGTGTGTGTGTTAGTGCCTGGGCAGTTTAGTGTTGAAAATACTCTAACAATGTATGGGTCGGTTGAGTGACCGAAAACTTACGTCTGTGAATCTAACTCTGTGTACTTTTGGCCACTCAGGGTATGCCAGGTGACAAAGGAGATAAAGGAGATGCTGGCCTTCCTGGTCCACAGGTATTTTTTTTTTTCTGTTACTCTGTTGCCAAGGACAGAAGCCTGAAGCTTCTGACATCAGCTGTGACCTTGACAGGGGTGACCATTAATGACATTTGCCTGTGTTCATTGACCTATCTGGAAAGTCACATTGATTGAGACTGGGCAAATTTATTTCTCAGAGGGGAACTTCTGGGTTTTAGTTTTGTGTCACAAGTGGGATCCCTTTGAGACAATGGCTTTGTTTGGGGGCTGTGGTCTGTCCTAGGGAAGCAGGCTGGCTGTTTCTGTAACTCCCTTTTCTGTCCTTGTTCTCTCTAGGGTGTCCCTGGAGGTGTGGGTTCACCAGGACGTGATGGCTCCCCAGGCCAGAGGGTAAGAACTTGCCAAATATTGGTTCTAGGCAAGGTATACTTCCTGCCTAGTCATTTTGCTGCAGACAGATTTTTATATATGGGCACCATGTTAGGATTTGTGTATTTTTTTTTTGCAGTCTAACTTGTGTCTATTTTGTATCTATTTCCATTCATCCTTGACATATATGGCCATTTCTTTCAATAAACTTACCCCAGTCAGCAGCACCCCATTCTGAATGCTCCCAAGCCTGACTCTATTGGATTCATAGGTTTTTGTTGTTGTTGTTTAGTTATTGAAGTACAAATCTAAAAGAAAGTAACAGTCACATAAGTGGAAATTTAAATAGTATGGCTTATAAAGGACTCTCCATTAGTTTAGTATAATCTCGGTTTTCTGTTCTTTTTGCCAGCTCAAATAGACAGCAGCAAAATAAAGTACAAAAGATATCAAACGAGGTGTAAGTTGAAATATGACATTTGTTTCATTGACAAGTTTTCACCAAGGCAGGTTTGGAGGTTTATATATTTATTAATGGAAATTCAAATTTAAAAATCTGTCACATGTTGGGCAGTGGTGGCTCACGCCTTTAATCCCAGCATTTGGGAGGCAGAGG